GAAAATTTGATTCGGGTTGCGACCAATTTGGGTCGTGACCAGAGTCGCGGAACGAATTAAGTTCGTGACCGAGGTACCACTGTATCAATGGCTGAAAGGCTCTCCCTGGGATTCTGGAGGGGTGGAAACCACAGAACATGTTCTTCTCCATTGCTCCTTTTACAGAGACACTCAAACCAGATTTATCCTCCCTCTGATTAGCAGATGCCCTGGTTGCTCAGATTCGGCCTATGCCCAGATGCTACTCATAGATGAACTGCCCTTTATTACAGTGCCTGGGGCTGGATTTTGCGCAGCAGCAGCATGGAAGATCTGCCACACCCTGATGGGCCAATTTCCCACCAGTCAGATGTATTTTATGTAATCTTAGATTTTTTTTTCTCCTGTAAACAATTATTACCACATTTTATCTAAATTTTAGATATTATCACATCTCTGTAATTTTAGATTACCACATTTTATATAAATTTAGAGTCTACTTTATAAATGAGACATAAACTGTTCCTTTTGGACCCCACTCACAGATTCTAATCAGGTTGTTTATAAATGTACTTTAACTTTGTCTTAAATTTTATTTTATCTACCTTGTACTTTATAATTTATAAATACTCACTGAGCACTCATGGACACATTTGCTTGTACTGGTCTAAGACCATAATAAGCTGATGCACTGACTGACTGACTGACTTATACTTCTGCCATGTTTATCTTTCTTATTAGCTCAGTTTACACAACCCAGAGATTAAGCTACAATCCTTAAAGGAAGATATCAAGGAATTTCTGAAGACATCAGGTTTGTGATTTTTATCCATCATATTTTAAGACTTTTGGTTTGATTAAGTGCAGAATATTAGGTATCATCCACCTACTTCAAGGTAATTTTCAGCAGGCTTATAAATACATTAACTGTAGCAGTTTATTTAAAAAAAGTCTCTTTACTCTCCATAAATGACCATGGTAATGGTCTGTACAAATTGACCTTACTCCAATCTTCTGGACAACCTTTTTGATATCTCTTGCTTGCTTTAAGCAGATTGCTAACTGAACTGCTGAACCTATTCTTATGCTGAGTGAGATCTCATGGGATGAAATGCTGTTCCATCAAGACAAAAAATAAATGTTGATATTAACATTTGTACTTTGAGCTTTTCAGTTGCATGAAAGTATATTGCCATTATATAGTTTAATATTGCTATCCATAACACTCCTATTTTACCTTTCTATTTTGGACTCATATATTGCCTTTTGAAATCTTGGAAGTATGTTTGGATCATAGTGGGCTTTGCTGCTGCTGAAGAGTCTGTATTCTGAAACAGTAGCAGTTGCTGCATTTAGTTGTCATGTGTAGATTCCAGCATGTCGGTTATATGCATGCTGTGAGCATATACTTAAATCCTCCTTGATTGGGTTTTGGCACAATACCAGAGTGGCTTCTTAATCAGCTCTTGCGGTGGCTTGCTTGAAGTATCTGAACAGGCAGTCCCTCAGGGGCTTCTGTATGGCATCAGAATCTGCAAATGGCATAGGCTGAATGGAAATTGATGCTTCAGAACATTGGGAGAATAGATTTTGTGCAACTGGGATTACTGACTCAAATTGCCATTCTGTGAACCCTTCCTTGGAAACAAGTCCAGCCCATCACTTATCTTTTGAATTTGGAATCGGGTGTTAGTCTCCAATACATAAAATATACTGTATACAAGTGAGAAATGTTTTAAACAAATCAGGAATATATGAGTTACTGTGCTTTAGTGTGCTTTTAATATGAAAAACTCTCTTTCATACCATATCAAGTTATTCTCAAGTTTTTAACATCTGAATTATGATTTTCTAATCTTCATTTTTTTAAAACTCTTATTTTGCCAGGATGGGAAAAGAAGCTGCAAAATGCTGTTTATAGAGAAATCAGTATGTGAGTTTGTTTTTGTCTGAATGTTGGTATAACTTCCGCCTCATGTTTGCATGCATTTCTTCTTAATGCGGTTCCTAAACGTTTTGCCATCACACCTTCCTTTAGTGTAATATTAATGTACACACCTCCCCTAAAAATCCAAACACCAAAATGAACAGAAATGAACAATAAAAACAATTCAATGAAACTTTGGGAAAGATGGATTTATTGTAACAATGTAACTAAAAGGTTCTTTACATCTCTCCTGGATTCTGTCTGTACCTCTCCACGGGAGGTACACCTCACAGTCTGGGAAACCCTGTCTTAAAGTGTACATCAAAGATGGCCTTACAGATTTTTTTTCAGATTATAGTTTTTTTTTCCATTATACAGTAGTGTAAAAAAGGAATAGAAGGCATATGAGTTTCTTAGTATCAGCTGTCTTAATAGTAGTGGCATTTTCTTCCCCCCATTGGACAAAAGGTCTTTAGTTGGATGCTTTTCTGGCTTGAGTTGTGGGGCCTGGAAAGAAAGTTTAGAAACATTGTCCTCCCCAGTTTTCATTTTTTAAATATAGAATTGTAATCACTCTAGGGTGGATTCAGATATTGCATCGTCATGGACTGTTAAATCAAGATTTATTAAGAGTAGGTGAGTTCATATTGCATACTAAGCTTGGTTTAGTTTGATGTGTCAATCTAGTCTAAATGTGTCATATAAAGATTTTTATAAATGAAAAACAGTCTATGGCTTTAGAGAATGATCATGCCTTGGTATAATGGGGAGTAAAATACACCATGCATTTCTGAACCTAGAGAAGAGAGTGGAAATCTGTGATCCTTTGTGGCTTACCATTAGCTATGTTAGCTAGTCTGATAGGAGTTGGGATCCAAAATCTGGAGAGTTGCAGGGAAACTCTACACTAGAAACCTCAAAAAGTGATTATCAATTTTTTGTTTGTGATGGAAAAGGAAATTTGGAAAGCTGTCCAGTTGGATTGAAAAGAAATAATCTTCACTATATTTATTTTTAATCACATGTATATTAAATAAAATCAATTTTAGTTGTTGTTCTGGCCCCATGCCCTACTTTTTGCAGTGCATCTCCTGACACAGAATTCAAAGCCTATAGAAGCTGCACACTCCTGACCTAAAGAATCTTATCATTTTTGGGGGGAGAAGCATAAAAGGTTTTTTGTTTATGTTGTGGTTTGATTTTTACTGATGCCTTTTGATCTTTTCTAAAGATTGCAAATGAATATTTGCCTATACAAAACACAGGTTCTGAAGCTGTAAACCTCTGCAATTATTTTATGTTCTTAAAGCAATAAAATAAGCCTTACATTCAAACTTTATTTAACCAATTTTTCTTCATCCAGTAACTGCAATTTTCTTACTTTTTGGCATGCGTTTATATATATTTTTTTCCCAAGTAGCTAAGCATCCTTGCAGCATTAAATGAAAGAATACTCTGGAGATTTCTGAGTTACCTGTCACTGAGTTCAAGGAGAGTTTTTCATTTCCCATCCCTGGTCCAAGTTCTTGGAAATATATTGTATGAATCGTAGGGCTACAAAAATTCAGGTGATCACTATGTGGCAGCAAAGAAATACAGAAAACTCTTTGTGGACATCTAGTGGTTGTCCGTATATTTGCAGTCCATCTGATAACTAGCAAATTGGGTTTTCTTGGCTTGAAAAAGATGGTTTGGCATCCCAGCAGCTTGTTTTTGAAGATTTCACTTTTTGAAATGTGAATAGCTTAACTGCATCTACTGGTTTGATGCATTAGAAGATAAACATGGAGCAGCACAGTGCCATGTAATATAATGAACTGCATTATGGCTGGTGTGGGTCTTCCGGGCTGTGTGGCCGTGTTCTTGAAGTTTTGTTTCCTAACGTTTCGCCAGCACCTGTGACCGGCATCTTCAGAGTGCAGGAGCACAGACAGGAGCAGTTCTCTCTGTGCCCAGGGTGATGCCCAACTGCATTATATTTGCAGTCCTTAGGCAAAATTCTAGCATTGCACCAGTAAAATCTTTTAGCGGTGAAGTAGAAACTGTAACAATTTCTTCCTCGTCGCTTTACAACACTAATTGGGACTGGAAATTCTGTCGTTAAGTGATGTCATACGTTGAAAACCATGCGACTATGCCGCTTAGCCACAGCAGTTCCAACAGTCCCAGTTGCTGTCATTAAGTGAGGAACATGTGGGTCATTAAGTAAGGACTTCATGTGACTGTGACTTCTGACTTCCTGCCAGCTTCCCCATTGATTTTGCTTGAGGTAAGCCAGCAGGGAAGGTCATAAATTGCAATCAAGTGATGTCTGGGACACTGCACTAGCCATAAGTGCAAGGTCCAGTCATAACAACCACTCATTCAGCACTGTTGTAAGTTCTAATGGTTGCTGAATGAGTGGTCATTAAATGAGGATGCCCTGTGCATCTAGTTGTACAAAAAGCAGAGTATGTTGCTGTTTTTTTTAAAATCGGAAGGTTATTGATTTTTAATGTAAGAAGCTCTATCATTTGTGAAATTTGAAAAACTGAACAAAAGGTGAATTATCTGGTATTAATTCTTTGAAGTGCTTATCAGTTCTCAATATTTCTCATCAGTTAAGGTTTTCCCATCTTATTGCCAGGCTAAACAGTAAAATACAATTGCCTTTAGCAATGTTTCACAAGATAGATGGCCATAGATTGATCATGACGCCATATACTGTGCCTGAAAATTCATATACAGTGGGGCAAAAAAGTATTTAGTCAGCCACTAAACTTGTGCAAGTTCTCCCCCTTAAAAAGATGAGAGAGGCCTGTAATTTTCATCATAGGTATACAGAAAACGTTTGACCTCTGTCATTGCCAACAAAGGATATATAACAAAGTATTGAGATGAACTTTTGATATTGACCAAATACTTATTTTCCACCATGATTTGCAACTAAATTCTTTAAAAATCAGCCAACGTGATTTTCTGGATTTTTTCAGAAAACGTTTGACCTCTGTCATTGCCAACAAAGGATATATAACAAAGTATTGAGATGAACTTTTGATATTGACCAAATACTTATTTTCCACCATGATTTGCAACTAAATTCTTTAAAAATCAGCCAACGTGATTTTCTGGATTTTTTCAGAAAACGTTTGACCTCTGTCATTGCCAACAAAGGATATATAACAAAGTATTGAGATGAACTTTTGATATTGACCAAATACTTATTTTCCACCATGATTTGCAACTAAATTCTTTAAAAATCAGCCAACGTGATTTTCTGGATTTTTTCAGAAAACGTTTGACCTCTGTCATTGCCAACAAAGGATATATAACAAAGTATTGAGATGAACTTTTGATATTGACCAAATACTTATTTTCCACCATGATTTGCAACTAAATTCTTTAAAAATCAGCCAACGTGATTTTCTGGATTTTTTCAGAAAACGTTTGACCTCTGTCATTGCCAACAAAGGATATATAACAAAGTATTGAGATGAACTTTTGATATTGACCAAATACTTATTTTCCACCATGATTTGCAACTAAATTCTTTAAAAATCAGCCAACGTGATTTTCTGGATTTTTTCAGAAAACGTTTGACCTCTGTCATTGCCAACAAAGGATATATAACAAAGTATTGAGATGAACTTTTGATATTGACCAAATACTTATTTTCCACCATGATTTGCAACTAAATTCTTTAAAAATCAGCCAACGTGATTTTCTGGATTTTTTATTTTGTCTCTCGTAGTTGAGGTATACCTATGATGAAAATTACAGGCCTCTCTCATCTGTTTAAGTGGGAGAACTTGCACAATTGGTGGCTGACTAAATACTTTTTTGCCCCACTGTAGTTGTAAGAAAAATCTGATGTATAAAGGTTTATCCAGAAACATGGATCCAAACAGTACTTGCACTAAAACTGTTTTTTCCTTTTAGGTTTCCTTTACCTTGTCCTCCATCAGTGCCCCCTGAACACATGAAAGAATCTTTGGCTTACATGAGGAAAGCTCAGGTTTGATGTGATTAAATATTACTGTTTGTGTTCAAGTATGGATATAGGCAATGTATTTGTGTTGAACGGAGTGCCACTTATCCCAAGCAAGAATGCATTGTGTAAAAGCTGATTTTCAGATCCATAAGAAATGTAGTAGCCATTTCCCAAACTAATCAACAAAGACAGTCTGTACACCCTTCAGAAAAGAAACAAGCTTCCTCCCCTTTTTATTGAAAAAAAGGACTAGAACTTTCTTGCCCTATTTAGCTTTTATATAGGACACTCATTTGAAAGTATTGTTAGCTGCCCAGAGCCATCTCTTTGAGATGGGCAACTATATAAATCTGTGAAATAAACTAGAGTACTTGCTGGAATTCTCGTGACTTTGACCTTCTCAGTGTTACTAATTAGGCCCCCAAAGGCTTAGACTTGGAACTAACTGCTCAGTTCAGGCTGCTATCAGGAGTCTGATGCTACAGCATTATACAAATATACACTAGATGTTTGGGTCTTATATGATGGCAGCATACAGAAACATCTGGGGGTGAAGGATTTATTATTAGGGCAATGTTGAAAGTAGCTTACAAGATTCTGAGAAAGAAGCGCACAAAATTCTAATCAACTAATGCTATTTCATCTACAGGACAATTTAGACAAGCTGAAACTTTCCACTTGAGCTTTTATTGTAGTAGATTCGATAATACCAGCCATTAAATTTGTCTGAGCATAAATGTTTGAAGGTGAAGCTGACAATAAAGGCTGAAGACATCTCTGATCTTTTGTAGGCAGTTAAAATGAAACAAACAAACAAAAAAGCACTGCATTAATAAACAATTAATCTCAACATATACTTGCTATATGCTATTAAGCATTAAAAAAAACTAACATATATGAGCTTGTACACTAAATAGCTGGGTTAATTGCAGTTATATGAACACCATACCTCAAAAATATTTTCATAAATATAGTAGGAAAGGGTTTTCAGTTATGAAAGTTTGCTGGGTGAAAACAAAATAAAACCAGTGATCTGTAAAAGTAGAAGCACAGCATTACCTGGGGTGAGTAGTAAATTGTCCCCAGATGGATTGATGTGTGACAGTTCCATTACATTCTTCCATTTTTATTACTGAGCTACATATGATAATCATGTAAGAAACAACAATCTTACATGTTATATATATGTAACATTGTTCTCCAGACTGTTCTTTTTAAAAAGTGAGTGATTGCAGGAAGAGAAATTCTCAAATGGAAGATTTACAGAGGAAGATACAGTCAGGACTGGGAATATTGAAACAAAGATAACTGTTTTGGCATTTGGCCTCTGTACACCACCACATTGAAGTGAAACATACCCAGATGGGAGCGAAATCAGAACTTTCAGCTGTAATTCAAGGGGTTTGACAAAAGTGGGGCACTAACCATTCAGGAAGTACAGCCAGTGGCATACACACACACCGATTGTGGTGGCTCATAAGTAATGGAACAAA